CATCATGTGGTAAAGATCTAATACATTCTTCCTTCTGGAAGAGCAAAATGCTGCCAAAGATCTGTGTTGTCCTTGTTTGCCTTGCTCTTACATCAGCATGCAATTGTTACCGTAAGAGATTTGGTTTATTTGTTTGTTTGTTTGTTTGTTTGTTTTGGGGTTTGTTTATTTTTGGGGGGGGAGAGTGTTGGTTTGGTTTGGGTTGTTTTGGTTTTTTTTTAATGAGAAACAGTATCCATCTAGATGAAAATCAGGAGGAATCAGCCCTATGTGGTCCATCTTTTTTTAAGTACAATAACGTGAAAGCAGAGCAAGGAATAGAGTGGGGAGTTGTATTGAGGTGAAGACATCTGTGCCCAAAGCCAGGCAGAGCTGATCATGTTCTCAGGAACTCCTGCAAATGGGATAATCAGTGGGATCTCCCCACAGCCAACTCAAATTCCCACATCCTTCAGCACAGTTTCAGCTTTCTCAGAAAACTGCTGGTAGCCTGAAGATCTGGTACAAAAGGAGTACCATATTAAACACTTCTACTTACTGCCACAATGTATGAAGATGTGTTTTCTGGCTTGTAAGACTTGAGAAATTTGAGGCTTGGAAGTGATCCTCACATAAGTTGATTTCATGACAAGGTGTCAAATCCACCCTGACCTTTATCAGTTGAAAACCAGCACAACTTCAGAAACTTAACAGGGGCAACCAACTTCTGTCCAGTGTCAATACCCAGTTACATTGGGGTTTGAGAGGGATTCTCTCATCCATTAGCAAGTCCATGTAAATAAACAAGTGGTAAGGCCATGGGATGAAAATGCAGCTGTTGACAAACTTTGCTAACCTCAGCTGAGGGCAGCAGAAGTCATGGAATCATAGGATCACAGAATCATTTAGGTTGTACAAGATCTCTAAGGTCATCCAGCCCACCCATTCCCCAGCACTGCTGAGTCTACCACTAAACCGTGCCCCCAAATGTAAGATTGACACATTTTTGAAATCCCTCTGGGAGAGGTTTAGACTGGAAATTAGGAAAAACTTCTGCAACAGGAAGATTTTCCAGCCCTGACACAGTCTGTGCAGGGCAGTGGTGGAGTACATTATCATAGGCTGAAAATTTCTCCTCTTGGGAGTGGCTAAGAGATAAGGAAAAAAAGTAGTGGAAACACAAAATTTAGTTTTCCAGTGGGGAGAATTTAGCAGATGGTATCCCCATGAGCCACACACTTTGCCCACTGCTCTTCACAGTATCCACGTGTAATCTGAGAAAGGAACAGCACTTGCAGGTGTTAAAAGTTATACAGGGCAGTCAAATCTAATACAGACTGCAAAGAGTCACAGAATTATCTTGAGGTACAGTCTAACTGGGTAATAAAATGGTAGAGCAAATTTAATTTCTACAAATGCAAAGTAACGTGCATGTGGAAAAATAACCCTAACTATACATATTCACTGATGGCTCCAAATAAGATTTGTATTGCTGCATTTAATTTATGTATTCTGAATGGGATATGCTATCACATTGTCTTGCAAAGGATATAGTAGAACTGGAAGACATAGAGAGAAGGTGACAAAGACAATTAAAGGCATAAAACACCCTCTGCAAAATTAAAATAAACTGTTGTGGTTTTGCTTTTGTTTTTCTTTCTTTTTTGTTTGTTTGTTTGTTTTTCTTGTTTTGGTTTTGGTTTCATTTGGGGTTGTTTTCCCAAGCTGCACATTGAACTATGAAGCTTTGTCACAGAATTTTCCAGAAAATAAAGAATTATCCAGAGGTTCAAAGAGGAGAATTGACATCTATGGAAGTCCACACATCAAGCTGCTATTAAACACAGCAGCCCATCTGTGGCCTCCAGTTCAGCACTCCCTGTAATACTTTCTGCTGGAAAGTTGTCCCAGGGGGATCACAATGCCCTTTTCACACACCCCAGGCTTTTTTTTTTTACACTCTTCTGGGCATCTGTTGTAGCTACTATGGAAACAACATCCTAATAAATATCTGTCCTGATCCAGTATCTTACATCTCTCCATTGTGAGGGGAAAAACCCATGAAAACCCTGACTAGATTAGTAAGATTAGTAAGATTATTAATTTAACCCAGATCCTGCTGTTTTGCTTCTCACAGAAATCATCTGAGCCCACAAAAATTCTGTGACCAATTGTAAATACAATTTGCATAAATGATCATGCTCATTTGCATATAGTTGCTTCCTTTGCTTCCTTCCCTCAGGGACTGACAATCTGTTCCCTCTTCAGTGAATTTGGGATTGCCTTGCACCTCTGAATTATATAATTTTACTTCCTTTTCTTTCCCTCTCATTCATTTCTTACATTATATCATACTTCTTTTCAGGCTCAGCTGAGTCCTCAGCTTACCATAGCTCTGCATTGCCTTGTGACTTTTCACTCTTTCCAAGAAAATTCACTGTTCTTTTTGGTGGGTATCTGAACAGTCCCTACAATGCGTAAATAAATCAAAAGAAAATATTACGAACTTTTTATCCTTTTGATGTACATTCAGCTGGCTCTAATTCAAAACTGCAAAATACGTACAGACAATGTGCAAAACTGTTTAGTATAAGGCAAATATACTCTTATTTACTGCACCCCTCCATTTCTTAAATTGTGCTAAAATGGCCCAAATTGTAACTTTCAGGAGAATGAGATTGACAGGCACTTTAGGTAATTTAAGTCACCTTTCTACCTTGAAAATCAAACTTCCTAATTCAAGCAGAAAAATTCTCAAAGCAGATCCTATTTTATTTCCTTTTAGTGAGAAAATTTTAAAAATAAAGGGTCTTTCTGAACAACTCAGCCCCTTTATTCCAGTTTTTAATCCAACTCTCACATAAAGCAAGATGAAGAATATTTTTATTATGAATAAACAGACCTTTACTGCTCTGCTGTTCACTGCCCATAGATGGCTGAGGAGGCTCAGAGTTCAAACCTGTCCTTTTTCCATCAAGGTGTGCCTGGTCTTTCCTCTGTGACTGCTGTTGTCTTCTGCTCAGCATTATTTTAGATCTGCAATAATAAGACTATACAAGATGTACCAAAAATCTGGTAAAATACCATAAAAAGCTGAGTTTCAGACTGGAAAGTTTTAAAATTAAAGCAGCCAATGTTTTCTTGCTCCACAGCACTCTTAAGAAGAATTCACAAGGTTATAGGGATACCAAACCACCTGAAGATTAAAACCTCCTGTCAGACAAGACTGCTGTGGATCATTGCAGCTGTTTTCTGGTCATCAAACACCCATCACAGAGGAGATAAAATAATTTATAGGGTGAATACAGTTAAAGGATACTTCAACCATAGGAACACAACTTTCCCAGCCTCTTTGCTAATGAGAAATTACATCATTCTTGTGATTTTCATACGCTGCTAAAATTTGAGGGATACTATGTGAGGCTGTAATTGAGGGAGGGACTTGTATTAAAGGATTGTTCTGGTGTTCCCATTCCAGGGGTGCCAGATGTGGGGCTGTTGGGCTGAGTTTTCATTGTTTCACAGGATGTGCAGATGTCTCCTGTGGGGCAATGAATGAGCACCTCATGGAGTACCCACACAGAAGAATTTCCCTGCCACAAGCAGGTGTTCAAATATCAGTACTGGGATGTGTGCTGGGGTCCCTGGTAAAACACAAGCAACAGAATAAGATGGGATCCACTTCACAGGCAGCACATGTGAGGCACGGAGCCACTGGTCCCACAAGTCTATGCAAATGTGTGGAGCAAATCCGATTTGGCTAATAGCCAGCTGTATATTTTAACCACCAGGCAGCCCTTTCTCTCCCATTAGAGGCTACAGTCATCACCTCTGCAAAGCTAGAGTATCACTAAGAAGAGACCAGCTGAGCTTCCCTTCTGTTTCCTCGAGATGTGTGATGCTGTGAAAATACTACAGGCAGTGAGAGCTGGTACATGAACAGTGCCGTGGATTAAAGTGCAGCATTCTTTTCAGCTCTTGTGCTGGGAGCCAATGCACAGAGAGGAAACCAGCAATGATAGATGGGCTCACTCTGCATAAATCACTGAGGTAGAGGGAGGGAATATTAAAATGTGGTGGCACTTTGGGACAGCGTGGTCCAAATGGGACAATCTCTGGTCAAGTACGGTACCAGTAGCGTGAACCGCTGTCTCCTTTCCAGTCCATCTCCAAGCTGTGCTGCATATCTTCTATGGGCTGTTATTAGTTCATGATAATCACACTCTCTGCAGTTCTTTTACTGCTATTATAAAAATGCTTTTATGTTGGGTAGATGTGTTATTTATTACGTGCTAGGAGGAAATGAAGTTGGTAGTTCTGAATGTTGAACAGCAGTTGGAGCTGAGCTGCACAGTTCCCGGTCCCAAAGAACCCTGTCTCCCATTTCATAATAATAATAGTGATTTATCCCCCATGTTATTAAGCCATTTGAATGACTCCATGCAGATCTCAAGGCCAGCATTTTATTTTTGTCATCTAAGATGAAGCTGTAATAGCAAGGACTTCTTTCTTTTCTTTCTTTCTTTCTTTCTTTCTTTCTTTCTTTCTTTCTTTCTTTTCTTTCTTTCTTTCTTTCTTTCTTTCTTTCTTTCTTTCTTTCCTTTCTTTCCTTTCTTTCTTTCTTTCTTTCTTTCTTTCTTTCTTTCTTTCTTTCTTTCTTTCTTTCTTTCTTTCTTTCTTTCTTTCTTTCTTTCTTTCTTTCTTTTTTATTTTTTCTCTTTTCTCTTTTTTTTTTCTTTTATCTTTTTTTTTTTTCTCTTATCCTCCCTTCCTTCTTTCCACACTTCCTTCCCACTGTCCCTCTCGCCTTCCTTCCATAAAACTTCCTTCAGGGAAATGTCCATAGCTGGGCAGATGATACAGTTCAACTTTTTTTGGCTCATACCTCTGTCATTAGGGCTGTTTTGAAGTTGGTATTATTACCCACTAAATGAAAATTTGTTTTAAACTTCATTTAAAATTCCATTTTAAATTAGGAAAAAAAATTAAAATATGTAAATTTATTCCTTTTTTTTTGGCAGGACACTGATGCAACTCCAGTGAAATGGGACATCCTTCTCAATGATAAAGAATTTTTTTAGACCAAGCTTTTTGAACACCCATATGTTGTCTGAGTATTGAAAGCTTTGGATGAGGTCAATGGGTTTACAAAAAAATCCAAGCAAAGAAAAATTCAAAATGAAACCAGTGGCTCCATGCTTTTCTCTTGCTCCATGATGTAAACTACCTGTAAAAAACAATAATCAATCCCTTGTGCACTGTGCAGGCTTCATCCCACCTAAATTTCAGAAGTAGGACTCAGTTCACTGATGTAAAGATCTAAGCAAATCATTATCTATGTACATAAATAAGTTCATTTTCCAGCTAGCACAGGTTTCATTTGGTTCCCCAGACCCCATGAGAAGGATCTCACAGTGATGTCTGGAGATGGAGGTGGGACAGTTTCCCCTTTTGTAAAGATATTTTCTCCATAGCAGAGGAATAGAGATTACTTCATTCTTTCAATGTATATGCCACCAACTGTGCAATGAAATTCCTTAAATTATGATGAAATTGCTCATTTCCTGAAGTGAACACAACAAACTAACAGGCACAGTAATTTTTAGTAGATTTGGATTCAATTCAATTTTCCAGATGTTCGCCTGCAATCAGCCTAGGAACTCAAATCTCAGAACGGTGCTATTCACACAACAGCTGTTGCAAATTTTTCTTTTGAATCACACCAATCTAAGTGTGGATTTGTTTACAGGCAGCCTCAGTCTTACATGAGGAACTGACTGATTACATAAAAAAAAAAAATTCAAAGATTTCTTCTGACCATTTATGCAGTTTCACTATTATTACATTACGGCTCCTTTTTAAAGTAATTTTTCTCATGAATTAGTAAATTTAGTTTTCTTCACCAGTCAGTGAATTTTGTTGGTGACTTTGATTTTTTTTGAAAAATACTTTTTTTTTTTTTTATTAGAGTCAGCTTCCTATCAGGAATGTGTTAGAAGGAAACAGCAGGTTAGAAGGAAATAGCAGTCACTGAAGACTTATTTGGAGTCCATTGTCGTCAGTATTTGCACAAGCAAACCTGCTCCAAGGAGTGTAATTAACAGATGCTCAGTCTGCAAAGATTAACAGCACCTTTAGTCAGACCTTGAATAGTTCACACCTTAAAATATCACCCTCTACAGAACTCAGTGTCCTTTTTATGATTTACAGGGGGGAAAAAATTTATCCAGCACTTCTCTTGATAATTTATTCTGATGGTCAGCTATTTTAACAGTGTCCACCTTTGTATTTGACTTCTGGCATACTGTAAACACAGTTTTTTTTATTATGCCTGGAATTGTTTCATTGAAGCAGCCATTTAACCTTTTCTAGCTCATCCACTTGTAGTTGGAGAGCAGAATGATTCATGCATGATTCCTATTGTGTACACAATTTATGTCCAACTTTTGCTGCCTAAGTGTGGTTCATCTGGACCTACAGTCAATGGAGGCAAAAATAAGATGACATTTCTCATATTTAAATCTGCCCCTTGGTTCTTTCAGATCCATCTGCCTGTGTCCCCTGGCCACAAGAGACAAAAATTAGACAACCACATCTGGATCACGTTATTTTTCACTTGGTTTTGTATGATGTATTTGCATCTTCTGCCTCTCCAATCCCTGCCCCAGCCAGAAAAGAGCACCCCCAGATTTCCAAATCCAGTCTTTACCTTATGGGGGGAGGTAGATCCTGGATGCAGCATATAGGAATGCTGCCATGCTGCACAATTACTTGACAGAGGCTGTTTGAAGGTGGCTTGTGAAAAACAGGGAGAAAACCATTTACATAGGCAGATAGTGATAGAATTGGAGGAAGTGGTTTTAAAATAAAATATATCTTTTTACTAAGAAGGTGATGGGGCCCTGGCACAGCGTGCCCAGAGCAGCTGTGGCCGCCTCTGGATCCCTGGAAGAGTCCAAGGCCAGGGTGGATGGGGTTTATGGGGTTTAGAGCACCCTGGGACAGTGGAAGTTGTCCTTGCCCATGGCAAGGAGTTAAAAAAGGATGAACTTTAAGGTACCTTCCATCCCAAACCATTCTGTCATTGTTTGAAATATCATGGATGGAAACCTGGAGATGGCTGTAGCTGAGGGATTGATGTATTTGTGACCAAGCTCTCATTAACAGGCATCTCACCAATGAGGAATTACAATTAAAAAGCTAGCTAAATGGCTAGCTAAATTATGGTAAACTCTTCTATTTTTTTTATTTTTATTATTTTTATGTAAGGGAGAGCAATGTTAAGTTTTTTGTATTTGCAAGGAAATTGTCACTGTTAATGATGTAATCCAAGCAATTAACACTGCAAATTCACTAGATATTAGGGACTAGGTAATAAAGGAGATTTAGTGTCAAGAGTTCTTATAAAAAATTAATGAACCTGGGGTACCTTTTTTCAAGCTGCCTACAAAGTTGGTGTTTGACAACACAGTGTGTCTGGTGATATTCTAGTGCAAGTGTCTATTCACATTTTCTGAAGTCCTTAATGTTTATACTGCTAAAAGACTCTGCAGCGTCTTAATAAGGAAGATGAAATCTGAGGGTTTTTTCTTTTTCATTGTTGCTTCTTCTAGCATCTTTCCAAATTTTTGTGTGACTGTTTGGAAGTGTGAATTAAACAGTGGGTATTTAATTGACTTGTTCCATCTATTTATACAAGACCACTCTTTTCTAATTTTAAGGCAATGGATACCGTGCTCTTATAATACATCTAAAGAGAATAACATTTTCCTTAAAGTCAGTGGAATGATTTATTTTTTTCAGACTATTTCCCTGTTTGACAATCTGTATTATGAAAGAACTTATCTGTTACACACTTCCTTCTGCTATGTGGAACTACCTAGACTTTTGTAGACCTTTTATAATGTTCTTTCCTTCAGATCTGCTATGGATTTAGACAACAATGTTCTGTTCTGTAATATCAGAGACCCAGAAATCTGCTAAAGTAAAAAGACCTGCTTTTGGAGTGGATGCTCCTGAATGCTCCTTCCAAATAGGATGATGTATACAAACATGCATGCTTATGTGAGAAAACTTTACAGAATAAATCTGCAGCAGTTAACATTCCCCAGTTTCCTCACAAGGGAATTGAGACTAGAGAAGAAATACATGGCAATGAAATAAACCAGATTAATTTTCACATGAAGAAGTTTTCACCACTGAGGATTTTGGTTTCTGTTGTTATTGTTTTAATTTTTAACACATGTATGTGCATAGAAATAGCTAGAGCCTGCTTTTAAAACCACTGGGGTAATTAAATGAAATTAACTTGATGAATGCTATCGTGTGCATCCTGATTGCTGAGTACTGAAGTTCTGGCTGCCTTTAATAACTTGGTGAGATAAAGTGATTTTAAACTGAATGTGATGTATTCAATTCAGCAGGCAGCAACTGGAGAAATCCAAACTCATCCAACAGATAAAGAAAGCTGTGTGGCTTGTGAAATACACATGTTGAATTCACATCACACTCTCTTCGTTCAAGAAAAGTTGTCTGAGACACCATCAGTGAAGTGACTTTGTTTCATTCAGATGTGATGTAGATGACACACATACCCAGTTGCGGTTACTGGAGAAGACTAATTGCAGCTGCTAGGATGGACAAAAGCCTCTCAAGAAGAGGAAATATTTCTATTTTCTACTCTTTTCCTTCTTCTCCCCTTCTTCTTTTAACTCTTGTTTTCTTCCTCTTGTCAAAATGTCTTCCTACACTTGTATCAATTTTCCTCACTTTTTCTTACCCTTTAAATGAATCAGTTTCTCTTTTCCTCCCATGTATTATCTCAGACTAACACCCTTCCTAGAGAAGGTTCCCACATTTTCATTCTTTCCTTGCAACCCAAGCCTTCAGGTTCTCTTCCCATATCCTGACATTGTTCATGTTCCCTCTGTGTTTTATATTTCCTTTTTCTTTTTTGCTGCAGGATGACCGTTTCAGTAAAACAAACTGAGTATTATTTTCTCAAATGATATGTTTCTTAGGTAATTAATATAGCTAAGTACCTCACATTGTTATTAGAGTCAGTATCTCCCCTCCTCCTGACTGATGGTTGAAAATCAGTGGAGCTTCCAAAGCATCCAAAAAACATGTAAATGTGGCAACTGGGGACATGGTTTAGTGGTGAACTTGACAGAGCTGAGCTAATGACTGGACTCAATAAACTTGGAGGGCTTTTCTAACCTAAAGGATCTTATGATTTTATAATTTTTTGCCTAAATATAGCTTTTTTAAAGCCACTGTGATTCAAGCTGCTTTGGCTCGAAGATTTTGGGTTTGGCAGACTTTTTCTGTATCCCACATACTGCTCTAGGCAAACTCCTTGTGGAGAAAAACAAAAACAGGAATCCTGAGTCCTGGTACACTTTATCCTCTGACTGATCTGCTGAACATGGCCTGAAACCCTGAAGGGTCTTCAGCTGTAAGTTTCTAATTATGAGATTGAGTCATCAATTAAGTAGGAAGAAATCCTTCTCTCTGGAGGTGGTGAGGCCCTAGCACAGAGAAGCTGTGACCAGCACCCCTGGAAGTGTCCAAGACCAGGCTGGACAGGGCTTGGAGCAACCTGGGATAGTGGAAGATGTCCCTACCCATGGCAGGGTGCTGGGCTTGATGATACCTAAGGTCCTTTTTAGCTAAAACTCTGATTCTATTCTAAACTCACTGAGGCTGCAAGCCCTGGACAGTTCCCTTAAAGGCACATCAACATCTAAAACTCACTTTGGGCCACGTTCAAAATCCAAATAGCCAAAATTTACCTCAGAATGGAAGCCTTGCTAGTTCAGGTGTACCCACTTTTAATTTGATTTGTACTATGTGCACAAAATGATTATTTTGTCCATATGGTTGATGTTGGCAGTCACCATTAGCAGCAGCCACTGAATGGCTAGTGGGTGTAATTTAAGGGCTGAACTGAAAAAATCTTAGACATGAATGAAAAACAAACTCTGTTATATGTCAGCAGGTTTGAGTTTTTGGTTTTTTTTTAAAATCAAATTAATATCCTGTTCATTCATTAAAAAAGGCGGTAATATTTTCAGGGTTCCTCAGTGCAGAAGTTCACTTGAAAATCAGACAGGGTGGAGGTGTTTAATGAGAAGTTGAAAATTTCAGTCT